GTGGTATCAGGGGACTTCAAATATATTTCATAGATATCAGAACCAGTATCAAGTTGACACCTTTTCATCTCAACATAATGATTTTGTGGTGTGACTCAAAGCTTTGATTAAATTTATATCCACAAGGACAATGTCATTTCTATACTTCATTAAACCAATTCACACCAGAGAATTATCTATGATATTTTGGAAGTCTGAGTGTTCTTTGCCACTTGTCATATTTGAAGCTTTGAGAGATAACTGTCACAAAAATCAGGAAGCCTTTGGGGAATACTTCCTTGCATTGTGGATCAAACTCATGTGTTGTCCAATTGACAAAAAACTGTCAGAATCTTACTGCAGTTGACATGCTAGATCCAGAATATTTTTTTCAACCTACCTACAAACTTCTACTTCCCACCAGTGAGGTATCCTTCATATACAGTAGACACTGGTAACTTCTTCTGCTCCTAGCAATGCTGAGATGTCAAGGCTTCTCCTTTCACTTTACGAAAGGACAAGTCAGATCCAGAGCTGGAGCTTTTGTCTGATGATCTTGCAGATGGTCAACTGTACAACAATCATCTTCTCAGCCATTGCACATTGCATTCATGGATTCTCTTGTAACTCAAGAAGACTGGCATTGTCTTTGATGCTAGGTGCCACAGAACAGCTTTTGTTGAAGTTTCTTTCAATGGTAGGTAATCATGACATAGGTGCTTAATTAGCTAATAAGATTGAAGTTAACAAATATTTAGACTGTGCTCCTTTCAACTATTATAGAGTATTTGGTGTGGAAAAGGGCTGTTACATATCGTTCCCAAAACGAACAAATTTTAGGAGCCATAATTTTATGAAATGTTCTAAATTTGAATGAGATTCATTTCATAACAAGTCATAGTCATAGTCATAGTAACTACAACATTACACAATTAGTTGCATTCTGTGCTTGTGCACCAACTTTCAATTCATTCACAAGTAATGTAATCAACCATCTATATAAATTTCTTCGTTAAACAGAATTTTACAACAAACATATTTATGTAATAACTCAATGTAGTACTTCTGATAGAAATCTATTTATAAATATCAAATAAGCAAATTTCCACAACATATTTTGGGCATTACAATTTGTTACAGTGACTGAAAATGGACTATCAAGTTAGAGTTGAACTTAGTCTTTCATTCAAATCAGACAATTCAGTATATTTAGTCATACTTTTAGCCCTTTAAATTTTTAATTATCAATAAAAAATCTTTAATAGTAAAGTTCAAAAATACAGTTATAATTTAAGGTAGCAACAAAAGTGAATTGAAACAACTCATCATTTGTAGATTGAGGTATCAATAATTAATATTTTTATATAAACATACTATGATTTGATTAAATGTCCAGTATCAAAACTTTCATTGAAAAAGTCAATTGAGCAAATTAACTAGTAACTTACATGTACAAAAAAAATTAACTACATAGTAAATTACTCTGATTATTTTGGATATAAGCTCTTAAGTCAAAACCTTTGCTTCATAGAGCATACATATGCATAATTTTTATTTACAAAAAATATTTTATAAATAACAGTTGCTAATTTATTAATCTTTGCCAAAATTGTTTTTATTGATAAAAAATCCTTTAGCTCAAAGTTTAATAAAACAGCTAACAAATGAAAACCAATAACCCCAAGTAAAATGAGAAGAAAAACTTCAGAAGATTTTGATAAATCAAATAATCAAAATAAATTTATAATTTAAAAAATTTTATTTAATACATCACTCAGAATCTACATTTTCTGCCCTGATAGTATTTACAGCTTCAGCTAAATTTTGTCCACCAGAACTAATTCTTTCTCCTGTAAAAAAAGGTTGTTGTTAATCATAATAATCAAGTGAATATATATAAATTTTAAACACTAGATACAGAAAGTTGATTCCTTTCCATGTAAATGAATTTACTAGTTAATTTATGTAAATCTACAATGCCATTAATGGTTATATTTTGTGGCTGATTATAGCATGGTAACTCACTTTACACTGAAGCAAACCACCACCTGGCCATTCATCTAAATCAGCATTTCTCAACCTGGGCAATATCACCCCTTGTGAGAATTTGTTGTGTTTTAAGGGTGATAGGCTCTAATTTACATTTTGAGTGGTGAATTAAAAATTTGCTGGGTGATTTAGCAATGAATGAATATTTTCTTCCACAATCTGGCTTAGCTATAAGGAAGCCTCTAGTGACTAAAAGCAGCACTATATTTTCATAATTATATATATCTAATGCTAACCAATGGCCCATTGTGTAAGAAACTGTGGTAATAAGTTATTTGCTTGACTAGCCTAGTCAGTCAAGCAAATAAGTTACAATTACAATACATTACATAATTATAATTATTGTAGAGCTTTTAGGGATATTGGTTCATTTGTGTCTTCAAATATATCAATGGAAATTATTTTTTCCAAAATAAAAACTACCAAAGAAATGCAGACTTATTTTTATTGAATTTTATAATTATATTGAACTCTTACATCCACATTAAGAGGGTTAAAGTATGTAATCTGATGTTTATGATGTTCATTTTACAGGAAGGTTGACGGACTTGCAAAATGATGTATATAAAATTTTGGATTTATGATGATATAATATTTTGAGTAAAAAAATAGTGATTTCATTCTATTGCATTTTAAATTACTAATTATGGCATTTCCAACTTCTAAATCCTTTTTCTACAATATAATTGCATAGAAAAAGGATTTATTGTTGTTCAGTTGTCCAAAAAAAGGAATTGTTTGCAATGACTCAAAAAGGTGATCTAAGATTATTTTGAACCAAATATGAACTAGTTGGCTGAATTTCATCAGTCTTGAGGTCACAAAAATTCTTATTTAATTTATTTATTCATCCAAAGTGTGGGTTTTGCAAAACTTAGATATCAATTTTAGATTTGTATGTTAAGATTATGTATGTTTTATAAAAAGAAACTAAAAGTTATTAATTATTTATGTTCCAATACTTATAAAGGAGGTGATAATTCTGAAAAAGTGAAAAACACTGGATGACATTTTCCAAATGTCATCCAGTGTTGCTACATAGTTGTTTTCAGCATTCCAAAGCTACAGAAGTCTATTGGGGTGGTATCAGGGGACTTCAAATATATTTCATAGATATCAGAACCAGTATCAAGTTGACACCTTTNATATTATTGTGATATTAAAAATGGCAGCACTGCATTGTGACAATCATAATTTTGATTTAAAAAAATCACACAACTTCAGTTTACATCAAAAATTTGTATGTAATTAATATGGGCCTCTGGTCCCTAAGCTTTCCATATCTGGTCTCAATTTTCATCTAACTCCATTTTCAAGATTAATGAAGGATGGCTGGAGGAAAGATGGAGTGAGAATTTATAGGTCTGCAATCTAAAAATTGCAGCCCAACAAGAAACTTTAGCCAGAATTGCAAAAAATAACGAATTGATTATTAGTAGATAAATTAATTTAACCTGAAAAGATTGTTCTGCATTCATAAGGATGCAGAACAATCTTATATCACACAGAAGTATTATTAAAAATTCATACTAAATTAACTGGATATTGTTTCATTTTCTGTATTTGCAATTATGTTATTCAAATAATGAATTATTACTTTTTAGAAAATTAATAGCTAAAATTTATTAATGTTTGATAAAAATATAATATAAATTTAATACATACTAATTAGTTCTGCAATAGCTCTTTCAGTTCTCCTTTGTAATTTTTCTAGTTTTTTTGCTGCATCTCTCTTCAAATCCCAATCTGGTTTACGTGGTGCCAAACTTGAAAGATCCTGAAATTTAAATAAAATGAATTCTTTGTTAAAGTTTAAAAGGATTACACTCATTTAAAAGAGAATGAAACAATCTCATATTTTCCTTTGCATTTATTTTGAGTTGTTATAATTTACTTCTGTTGTTTTTGATCAACTAATAAACTTTGTTTTCTTCTATGTTGACTTTAAGAAAAAAATTGCTCTGAAACTCAATATGCAAAATCTCTTAATAAAGGAAATATAATAAAATGCATTTTAGACCTAAAGTTGCTCATCAGTTGCTCTCATGTAAAGTGCTCGTAATGTGGACCACCATCAACGAATCTTGATAGTGATCCACATGATCACATATAGTATTCTGATCAGATGGAACTGGAGCTGAAGCTAACTGTACTAAACCATCCATTTTAATTTACTTGCCATATTATCAGGGAGATTAAAATAAGATACCATAATCACAAGTGTGCTCATTTGCTTTCCATTAAATACTAGAATAAGCAAATTTTATATTATTATATATATATAGCCATTCTTAAATAGGAAAATTAATCAAGTGGCACAAAGATGCTATAAAAAATTCAATTGAAAATTGAATTTTTTCACTTACTCATAAAACATTTATTCACTAAATTTTTAAGTAAAGATGATACACTTAAATATCAAGCCTTTTGTCTGCAATATACTTTTTGTTATTTCATTAATAAGTTTTACATTCTATTAGGTTACTTGGAAAGTAATTTAGTTTTTTTTATCACTAGACGAATTTGTCATATTTTTCCCGCCATTTTTATTCTAAATCGTATCATCATTACAGTATATATTTTGACAGCTAGAATTTTAAGCTTATTTGTAAAAAATTTTGTTTGATTTTGTGAAATTGTTTATTTTTTGTGTTCCATCAAATATGGAAGCTCAAAAGCAGCATTTTTTGGCATATTTTGCTCTTTTATTATCGAAAAGGTAAGAATGCTGTTCAAGCGAGAAAAAAATTGTGTAGCATGTATAGGGAAGATGTATTGACAGAACGACAGTGCTAAAACTGGTTTACAAAATTTCATTCTGGCAATTTCAATATTGAAGATGCACCACATTCTGGATGGCCAGTTGAAGCCAATGAAAACAAAATAAAACGTACTGATTGAAGCAAACTGCTGAATAACAACACGTGAAATCACTAAGACATTAAATTTGTCAAATTGAACTGTTTATGATTACTTGAAACAAATTGGTTTTGTTTCAAAGCTTGATATATGAGTTCCACATGTTCTTAAGGAGAGATGCTATCTTTGGTGGGATTTTAAGGAAAATTTTTTTTGGAGCTTTTACCAGACAATTTAACAATTGATTCGAAAGTGTACTGCCATTGAGTAAACAAATTGAGTAATATCATTAAACAGAAAAGGCGGCCAGAATTGATCAACAAAACAGGTATAGTGTTTTACCACGATAATGTCAAATTTCACAAAAGTTTGGTAACTCGTCAGAAACTGTTATAACTTAGATGGGACGTGCTATCACACCAACCATATTCNTTATATATTTTTGGATTCCGTTTTGCATAAGGATTCTGAAAATGTCGTGTTTGTGAAAATCGGACCATTTTTGAAGAAACTGTTCATTTTTGAAATTTGCGAATATTCGAATTCAATTATCTGAACATATGTGACCGATTAACCGAAGATTGAATCTGATTCTTGACCGCATTGATTACGTGAGTACCATATTTACATTTTGGGGTTCTGGACTCAATATTAAATGAGATATACAAGACTTCCGGTCTATATTTGGACGGTCATAACGGGCTTCCCGTTTAGAATTTAAAATAATATTTAGGCATTTCTATCTAGACATCAAATGCTAATTTATCCGAAAATTTTATGTGTATATCTGCAATAGTTTTCAAATTATCGCAATTCTTAAAATTACAACTTTTTCAACTTTCTTCTGCAGTGCCATCGTCATCGAACTTTCTAGAACTTTAACCGGAAATACCGATTTTTCTCCGTTTTTTTTCATAACTCATTATACATTACCTTAATTTTATTGATTTTGATTACAATGTCTCTAACAATTGATATGGAGTCAGATTTGCAAATATTTAAAGACAATGCCAATGGCATTATTGAAGAACTTAAAAAATATTCCGTAGAAAACCCGAACGCCAAAATGGGAGTTGCATGCCATCTCACGTATATATTATCACAATTCACTCGGGTAATTCAACTTGCCGAAACAATTCTTGAGAAAAATTGTATCACTGATTACCTTGACCAAAAATTTTCGGCACTGTTAACAAAAGAGGATTTGAAAGGATTTCGAAAAGATGAAAGTGATAGCACTATAGGAATCTTGACGGACATACAACAAGCTGTTAGTAATATTGGGAAAAGTTCTACAGCTGATTTATTTGACCGAGCAAAAGACAGTGCCCCTAGTTATAGATCTCTATAACTAGATCCTAAATAAGGGAATTACAACCAAATCAGTTCACGGACCACCTTTACCCAGCCACACTCTTCTTGTATATAGTAATCAAGAGGGTGCTACGTATGAACAGACTAAAAGTTTCTTAACTCAACATGTGAAACCACAAGTAATTGGAGTAGGAATCAATCGTTTACGAAAACTAAAAAATGGGGGCATAGCTGTTGATTTGGATAATAAAGACGACCTTTTGCTATTTACAGACACTGTTAACAAGATTCCTGGTCTCAGCACACGTCTACCTAAAAAGCGATTACCTTTGATGAAAATCGTTTCCGTACCTAAAACTGTCGAGAAAGAGAACTTAATATCAGACATTTACGATCAGAATTCATGCTTCTTCCAATATACTGATAAGCAATTTGTAGAAAAAATTAATTTGCGATTCCCTTTAAAACAAAAGAACGAAAATTACCTTACATGGATTATCGAGGTGGATCCTGAAATCAGAGATATACTTATAAAGGAGGGAAAAATTCACATACATTGGTTAAATTGCCCAGTATATGATTATATTCCTATAATACAATGCTACCGATGCCTATCTTTTGGCCATTTAGCAAAAAATTGTGCTTTTACTGAAACCAGATGCAGCCATTGCGGCGAGAATCACCTTTACAAAAATTGTACCAATAGACACGAACAACCTAAATGCGTCAATTGTTTAACAGAGAAACGAGCGCATCATAACCACAACTCAATGGATAAAAGGTGTCCAATATATATCAGAGAAACGACTAAATATATTTCTAGAACTGAATATATACATTAATTATTTGTATACCTTTAGCTGATTTATCATGAACTACCTAGAACTTTCTAAATCAACTGGACTTTTCGTGGTTGGCAATGAAGTGTTCAACTATTCTGCACGCCAGTCTCCAATTGGCAGATGCTACATTGTGACGTGCATTATTCTGGATGAACATATACCTATTTTATGTTTAGGAGTCTTGCAGTTTCTGTGAATATGAACTCATATACTGTTAATTTTTTTTTATTTTTATTTGTTTCATCAGATGTCAGTTAATGTATATATTGACTCTTACATGTACTTATTTCGTGATACCTGCAGCACATTTTACCTAGAGAGTGGTGCACTTAATGTTTTGCATCCTGCCAATCATATGTATATAGATTTGTATATAGTTATGATACTTGTTATATTATTTATCTTATCTTAATTTTAATTTTACTTGATGCATTTATTGAATCTTTTATTGTATTCTCTACTATCACTTTTGTTAGCGTAACACATACTATAACATATACTTAATAATATAACTATAACTATATAATTTTCACATGGTGAACATTTATTATCATATGTATTATTACTGTATCTTATTTGATGTTTTTATTGTAAGTGTAACTCGTGTTATTATGTGTAATATTCCTTATCTTATTTAATGTATCTACTGATTCTTTTACCTGCGAACTCTTTCAATATTTATATAAGCATATATACATATTATTTTGTTTATTCACATAAGTGTAACACATATTATCTTGTGTATCATCATTCTCCTCATAAGAGTTACATATCTTATCTTGCGTGTTGTGCACTTCCTGTTTAGCATTCCGCTAACCTTATGTATATAGATTTATATATAATTTATTACCTGTTATATTTTATTCAATTTTACTTTATTTAATGTATTTACTGACTATTTTCTTACCTGTATATTTTCATCATTTATAACAGTGTATCTTCTAAATCTTGTGTATTATTATTATTTTGTAATGTGTATAACCGGTAATGCTTATGCGGGGCCAGTCTGTACTTTTAATGTACAATATTAAAATGAATGAATGAATGAATGAATGAATAACTTAGATGGGACGTGCTATCACGCCAACCATATTCGCCAGATCGAGCACACTCAGATTAGTACTTGTTCCGGTCTATACAATTTTTTTTAACTTGAAATGACAATGTCAAAAATCACTTGGATCAGTTTTTTGTAAGCAACAATCAAAACTTTTATGAATGTGAAATCATGCTACTACCAGAAACAATGACAACAAATTTTTGACCAAAATGGTTGATAAATAATTCAACAAAATATTTATTTATTATAAAAATATTGTTTTTTTTTCAATGGAAAAAAACGAAATTACTTTCTGAACAACCCAATAACATCATAAATTAATTTGATATTTTTATGACAGAATGAAACTCAACAACAAAATGTGATTTTAATTATATTTGTTTCATAAACATAATTTCATGTGTAAAAAACTGTTAAGCAAATAAGTGCACATAACCATCTTTTAATGTTTTATGATACAAATCTTTGATAAAATCATTACTATACAATTATGAAATGTTTTGTTGCTCTGAATTATTATTTTTCTAATCAATGTATTGATTTATTTTAAATTATCATGAAAAAGTTTATCACAAATATGTAAAATACAATTCAACTTTAATTATTAATAAAAATTATAATTACCACTTCATTAATCAATGGTTCTGGATTTCCTGCTGCAACATGATCTTGTACTTCTTCTTCCACTGTATACAGAATTATATATCATTAAATTAATAAAAAATATAAAAGCAATGTACTTTTTACTTTTGAAAACAATAAAAAAATCATTAGTTATCAATAAAAAAGAAACCATCAAAAACTTTATATATAATTAGATATCTTTTGCTGAATGATATTTAAATCTCAATTAATGGTGTAGTGAGAACCTCTGTATACTAGTAGTAGTTTTCAAACTTTGGGGCATGACTCCCAGTGTGGTTCAAAACATATTGATAGTTTTTGCATTGCTACTGTTTATTCTTGAGTAGAACTCCCACATAAATTTAACTCAATATTCTATCTTCTAATTTCAATACAATATAGCATTAAAACATCTGCAATTTCCATATTTATTTCATAAAATTATAACATTGTAGTTATGGCTAAAGCATAGTCCAGCCTTTCTCAAACTTTTTGCTTGTGTGATACAATATATTTGTTAGTAATGGTTCCACAACGCAAATGTTTATAATATAAAATTTTTATAAAAGTTGGTAAACTGGAATCACTGTATATTATATAATGGAATAAAATTATGCATTATTGATAACTTCTAGGTGTGAAATGTAACATTAAGTATGTTTCTATTAAGAACAGTTCAGGCCAATTTCAATAATAAAAACTTGAAGTATTAAACAATGTAAGACTGATGATTGTAAATAAAACACTATTTCAAAATTATTAAGGAGTCTATTTTACTTTATAATAAAAACTTTGAGAAAATCATCTTACAATCTGAAAAATATTAAATTTAATTTCATACAGTATATACATAAACATTTTTTAAAAATTACTTATTGATCCACTTCTGTCAAAATTCATGACAATAAACAAGAAAATATTTTCAAAATCATTGTAACTTAAATGGCTTTATGACCATGACCATACATAAAATATCTACTTTGATGATTTCTTTTTTTTATTTTGAATAACATGTAATATACACTTCTATAATCTTAATTTTATTAATAAATGACAATTACAAGAAAAAATTGTTAAAAATTTTCAATATAAAACTGAGGCATCTATTGTTCCTAGTTCTTAGAAAATATTTCAGTAATATAAGTTTTAGTTATATCTGTAAAAAGTAGAATCATTTTGTGACCCATAGTTTGAGAAATACTGGCATAGTCATTACATCACAAAAATTTGATTTCATTTATAAGCATCTCTACATGCTATTTTAGTTTTTTTTTTTGTTTTGTTTTAAATATAACTGTGTACTAGATAGACCAATAAGTACAGTCGACCCCCTATAACACAGTATATATGTTCCGGTTTTTATGAATCCATTTTCTACAAGTCCAGCCAATCACAGCCTGGCACGTATGCAGTTTATGGACTACAGCTGTTTGAAAGGTTTTCTTCCATAAAATTAATCGATTCTACACTAATTCGACTTAATATTTCCAAAATACATATACAGTAGAGCCTCGATTATCCGACTCAATTGGGGACTGGGGTTGGTCGGATAATTGAAAAGTCAGATAACCGAAAAGTATGAAAAAATCCATTATTAGTGTAGTATATTATTATATCTCATGTACAGTAATTAGTATATCGCTATTAACCTACTTTGCGTTGAATTTTCATCGATGTTAAGCCTAACAAAAATTTTTTTAAATAATAATCGTCGCTATTGTATCGTTAAAAATTAGAAAATTAAGCCTCGTTTAAATACTGGCTCCCTTTCATGGTCGAATGAGTGTTGCCAGCTAAAACACGTAAAAATAATATTAAAGTAGCCAAGACATAGCCANTATAGCATTAAAACATCTGCAATTTCCATATTTATTTCATTAAATTATAACATTGTAGTTATGGCTAAAGCATAGTCCAGCCTTTCTCAAACTTTTTGCTTGTGTGATACAATATATTTGTTAGTAATGGTTCCACAACGCAAATGTTTATAATATAAAATTTTTATAAAAGTTGGTAAACTGGAATCACTGTATATTATATAATGGAATAAAATTATGCATTATTGATAACTTCTAGGTGTGAAATGTAACATTAAGTATGTTTCTATTAAGAACAGTTCAGGCCAATTTCAATAATAAAAACTTGAAGTATTAAACAATGTAAGACTGATGATTGTAAATAAAACACTATTTCAAAATTATTAAGGAGTCTATTTTACTTTATAATAAAAACTTTGAGAAAATCATCTTACAATCTGAAAAATATTAAATTTAATTTCATACAGTATATACATAAACATTTTTTAAAAATTACTTATTGATCCACTTCTGTCAAAATTCATGACAATAAACAAGAAAATATTTTCAAAATCATTGTAACTTAAATGGCTTTATGACCATGACCATACATAAAATATCTACTTTGATGATTTCTTTTTTTTATTTTGAATAACATGTAATATACACTTCTATAATCTTAATTTTATTAATAAATGACAATTACAAGAAAAAATTGTTAAAAATTTTCAATATAAAACTGAGGCATCTATTGTTCCTAGTTCTTAGAAAATATTTCAGTAATATAAGTTTTAGTTATATCTGTAAAAAGTAGAATCATTTTGTGACCCATAGTTTGAGAAATACTGGCATAGTCATTACATCACAAAAATTTGATTTCATTTATAAGCATCTCTACATGCTATTTTAGTTTTTTTTTTTGTTTTGTTTTAAATATAACTGTGTACTAGATAGACCAATAAGTACAGTCGACCCCCTATAACACAGTATATATGTTCCGGTTTTTATGAATCCATTTTCTACAAGTCCAGCCAATCACAGCCTGGCACGTATGCAGTTTATGGACTACAGCTGTTTGAAAGGTTTTCTTCCATAAAATTAATCGATTCTACACTAATTCGACTTAATATTTCCAAAATACATATACAGTAGAGCCTCGATTATCCGACTCAATTGGGGACTGGGGTTGGTCGGATAATTGAAAAGTCAGATAACCGAAAAGTATGAAAAAATCCATTATTAGTGTAGTATATTATTATATCTCATGTACAGTAATTAGTATATCGCTATTAACCTACTTTGCGTTGAATTTTCATCGATGTTAAGCCTAACAAAAATTTTTTTAAATAATAATCGTCGCTATTGTATCGTTAAAAATTAGAAAATTAAGCCTCGTTTAAATACTGGCTCCCTTTCATGGTCGAATGAGTGTTGCCAGCTAAAACACGTAAAAATAATATTAAAGTAGCCAAGACATAGCCAAATATTGTAGCACCACATCACTAGCGGACATTTGAAATTTGCCGACTAGGACGGTCGGTTAATCGGGGGTCGGATAATCGAGGCTCTACTATATTTTTTTGGGAATAATCCATATAAACTATGCTATAAACAAAAAATTGTAGGATTACTGGCCGAGCGTGCACTGTTCAACTATGCCATTGCTTAAGCTTGTTTTCGTCGTGGAGCTTGTCATCGAATGGCGCTCGCGTGCTTCCTGATAAATTATTTTTTTTTTAGGAAAAATTTGCTGAACTTTGGAGACATCATTAATATAAATATAATTTTTATGGACATTAGATAATAAATGGTTTTTAGTAGGTCCTCTGCTCATTTAAACTCAACGGTTTGTACAATATCCACTATTGGTCTAGATTCGACCAATCCTGTCGCGACACGAGTCGGCGATGACATTTTACCAAATTATACGAGTTTTTTAGCATGTTTGTACGAATACTGTCGCAATTTTTTTGCCGTGATATAGGAATCCGAACTATAGGAACCCGTGTTATGGGGGGGTCGACTGTACATTATTGGACACTATTGCCATCCATATTGGTATAATTGAAAGGTACCAGTGTAAGAATGGACTCATCTACTATTAGGAATATTATACCACCTCCTTTCTTCAATGACATGCCAGGTGAGCTGTTGTATATGCAGCAGATGGTCCCATAATGTATTTGATAAACATTCTATACATTTTTGCAAGGCAATGTAATTATGAACTATACTTAAAATTTTACCTGATTCAGGTTTTGTTTTTGGCAAAATATTTTCTTGTAAAGTTTTATCTTGAGGTTGATAGCTTCTAAATACTGGTCTAAAATAAAAAATAATATTTATTAAATATATATAAAATAACAAATTATTCTTACTAAGATTAATTTTAAAAATAATAATTATATGACCAACTAAATTAGGGTAACTGGCATTAGGCACCAGTTATTTAGCCAGTTATCTCTTGCTAAATTTAATAATTATAATTACTAAATTTAATAATTATAATTATTAAATTTAGCAAGAGATGGTGCCTAACACCTAACTCTAGTACCAAATTATCTTATAAATTATTATTAGTTTAGCTGGTTCTAGTCCAATAATTCGGCCTTGGTTGGTGTATTGCTTTAATGTATAACGGGTTAGTCGATGTAGTTTATATATATATATATATATATACGCCTTGCCGGGGTTGCGATGGCCAGTTGACTGCCTTGGGAGATGTTTACAGGACGTGGGCACTTGATGTGTCCCCAGCCAGCATTGTAATGACTGTCAATGGTCATACATAAGCTTATGTATACTGGAAGAGGAGATCAAACCGGAGGTCTGGGTAGCATAATTGGCAATGCATCTGCACAGTGAGCAGGAGTTGTGGGTTCGAGTCCCACTCTGGGCTGATTCTTTTCTTCCAGTTAGTTCTAAATTATTTAAATTATTAAATTAAAATTATAATTATTAAATTTAGCAAGAGATGCCTAACTCTAGTACCAAATTATCTTATAAATTATTATTAGTTTAGCCAGTTCTAGCCCGATAATTCAGCTTTGGTTGGTGTATTGCTTTAATGTTTTGAGTGGTTTTATTGTGTCTACCATGTCAATTTATTTTGACAACACCATCATTCTTGTTTACCGATTGGCTACAAACTTTTTATTTCTGCTTATAATAACATAAAAGTTTAAATATTTTTAACATGATTTTTTGGACTTTCTAAGCTATATCAATAGAATTTTTTTTTTTTGCATTTTGTTTCCATTCTTTCTACAAATGAGAACAAAACTTTACAGTTTACAAGTACAAGTTGACCACCAATTTTCCAGCACACATGATTCCAAAGTCTTTGCTAGATTAACAGTTTTGATATAATGAATTCACAAAACTCAACAGTATATTCTAGTCCACTAATTATACTGTCTTCTTCCATATATCTAAAGTATTATAGCTGGAAACTTGAATTATGCATACATTAAATGTAGACTGATGCTTGATACCACTGGCACCTTCATCTTTCTATACTTAATTCTACCTACAGTTTCTGAGTAAAATGAGCTAAAAAATTTGCATAAAATAGAGTAATCACCAACAACTGCAATTTAATTCCAATTGGATGTATGCTAAATGCATATCATCACTTAACTAGCCTGGTGGTAGAGGAATTTAAGTGCTTTCTCATAATTTTCAAACAGAAGGGATTAAAAAAAAAGATAAAAAATTGGAGTTTAGTTTCAGCCTCATTCACAGCCCCATTCCAGACTCAGTAAAAGTGAAGATGGCATGTTTTTGAAATTATGTGTCTCATATTGTGTTTATGCTTGTTTTTCTTCTTTAGTCATGTTTTTAAATTTTTGCTATTGATTTTGAAACTTTTAAAATGAATCTTTGTAAAAATTTACCATCAAATTAATTGTTTATAAAAAAGTTTGGAAATCTATTACATCCTATCATGGCCAGTGCATGATGCAAAGATTGTCTGTAGAGATGCATGTGTAGTTGCAGCCATATGTAGGTTTGTGTTTTTTCATTGTCTAGTCAAATTCAGTTTTTATATGGTAGATGGTCTCTAAAAAAGAGGTTTTTGGGGGCAATTGGAAAGAAAAAGAAACTTGATTTTTTGATGGTATGATGTAAGGGATCAAACTTTTTTTAAATTTCGTTTGTGAAGGATCCTTTTTTTAGATAACAGAATAAGATTGCAAAGGTACTGTACTAGCTTGTGACCCTCCAAATATTTTGAACTATCATTTTGATCTTAGAATGGATGTTATCAGGTAATGTAATAAGACTGTTATGGTGCTAGTTTGTGATCCACCCCAAATTTTTTCATAAAAAGGTAAAATTATACTTAATTTTAATTTCAAAATTTGCTAGCACTTTCATCAAACTAGCAAACTTCCTCAGACATTTAAACCACAGAATGACTTTTGATAAAAGTTACTTTTAAGAAATTGAATCAAAATGAAATATTGTAATATCACATTTATTCACATTATTAATATTTTGGTAAATGTGGATAAAAATATTATTATTTCATTTTGATTAATAATTTCTGCAAGTTAAGGTGAGAATGTTACTTCAACACCTTGATTTAATGATTAATTTTGGCGAGGCGCCACCCATTAAAGTTGAAATTCTGTTATATAATAAGAAGGTTTAAATAATAATACAGGTAACCCCCATATAATATGGAAGTTACGTTCCAAAAAATTGCTGTGTTATGCAAATCCATGTTATACGAAACAAAGAATTAGTACGAAAAGGAGGGTTAGGTTCCAAAAATTAAAAAACATGCTAGTATATTTTCATAATTAAGATAAATATCTTCATTAAAATTTTCTTAAGTGATACATATTAATATAAATTAAACAATGTTTTCTTTGTCATCACTAAAAGCATTATTAACCAAGAGTGTTTTCTTTTTGGCAAGTTTTCCTTATCCTCTGAGCATTTTTCTGCATTATCTTCAGATCCATGCTTTACCTTTTGCAAAATGTATGAAATTTTAGATTGCTTGCTTCTAGTTAAAAGATCTTTATAAATTTCCTCATATGGTGCTAAGCACTTATGAAGAATAAAGCAAGTATAAAATAAGGGAAAAACATCTGGCAACATCAGAAGCAGAAGCGTCGAGATCTGGCAACATTGAAACAAGTTTCTAGAAGGACCATGTGTATGGATAGAAGGTGAGAAAATAAAATTTACATACTTAAGTACTAATAGTTCACGAAAATTATTATTTTCGTGAACTATTGTGAGACTTTTCTTTGCCTTTTGAAAAACTTTAATTGAGATAAGAAAGATTTGGATAACAGGAACGTTTTAAGGAATACAAATTACATAAAAATATATTGTGAGTATTATAAAAAAACAAATGTAAGACTTCTTTCTCGTCTTTCGTCTTTTCGCGCGTTCTTCAACCGTCGTCTCCTCTCGCGAAGTCGCGTCTCGTCCCGCTCTCGTCGTCTCGCCAGCAGATGGCGTTTCGCTCTCCACAGCTCGGCCATCCTGCAGATCACTCCGTCCTCGGAGAGATTACTGGAAAACTAAAAACAACACACACAAAAAAACATAAGAACAAAAAGAGAAAATACGATTAGAAATGTTCTAGAAAAGTTCTTGATGTCAGTCAAGATCAATGGGCCATGGCTTCATGTGGTCAGCTGCAGTAACAGTCACATTGGGCCCTTCATGATGACCTATTTTGTCAACCGCATATCTGTCCCTAGGCATCGTCGAGGTAACCTTGTAAGGTCCGAAAAACTTAGGTCTTAGTTTGAGACCTGTCCCAAACTGGATTCTCTGAATGGCAACAAGGTCGTTGACCTGATATTTGGGAGCTGGTTTTCTTTTCTTATTGTAGGATTTACGATTTTCCTCCTGTAGTTTCAAGATGTTTTGTTTGGCATCTTCTCGAATCTTGTCTCTATCTTGCATCGTACAATTTAAAAATTCTTCTTCCAAAATCTCTTTTATTCTCAGGTCTTCTTTATTTTTCATTTTGGTACCGACCAAAATTTCAAAAGGTGTATATCTCGTACTACGCGTTGGCGTACTGTTGATGATTCTTTGGACGTCCGAAACATATTTGTACCACTTTGTAGCGTCTTCTTGCGCAAGTTTTGCCAAAACGGGGATCAAGATGCTATGCATACGTTCTATCTGTCCATTTCCCCTAGGAATACCTGTGGCAATCGTAATGTGCTCAATCATCTCGTTGGTGCAATAATCGTTAAATTCTTTGGAAGTAAAAGCAGTTCC